TGTCTTTTTTTTTTCATTTTGTCTCTCATAGTTGAGGTATACATATGATGAAAATTACAAGCCTCTCTCATCTTTTTAAGTGGGAGAACTTGCACAATTGGTGGCTGACTAAATACTTTTTTGCCCCACTGTAAATACTACTCAGGGATGAAAGTTTTCCGTCGCTACGACGGATTTTCGTCAATTGGAAAAAATGAGGGGAAAAGAAACATGTAGCACATTGTTGTTGTTCTGCCGGTGTTCTGACGATTTGTTGGTAGCATAATCTGATAGGTAGCATTATTTGTCAGAACACCAGCACACCAAAAATCCTCCCTGCCACGGCTGCAGCTTCTCACTGACAACATAACGCCTCCCATCGTTCACAGTCGGGTTATTAGCAGAGAACACAGAGCAGGTCTTGCATTTCAGGCGCAGGATTGCGCCTATTAATAATAATTATACTCATTCCCGCAGGTTCCTTCATATGCACGTACTTTTGAGTCTTGAGAACTCTCATTTTCTGTGCGCCCACAGATTACGATAAGGAGAGTGACATATTTTAATAATTATTAATATTGATTTAATACAACAGTTCAATGAACAAGTACTGCCTGATTTTGCTCCATTTCATCAACGAAAATAGTTCCAATCATTTAATATTTCTGTATTATATTTAAAACATTAATCTCCACATGAATTTATGAATTTAATTGCACTCATGCCACCTCTGAGCCTCATTGAATGTCTGAAAATGTACCTACAAGCCATTTTTGTGTTCTTTTTGTGCCACCTGTGTAGTACAAATTAATTTTTCATTAATAGTAATTTCATGATTGGTAACTTATTTGTCTTATTCTACTTATTATATGGTTTTAAATAGAAATTTTAAAAAGCTTATAAACATACATTTTTGAATTTGACAGATGAAAATGATGCCATTGCAAAGATAAAAAGAAAATGCCCCTGTTAATCACTTCACCTCATATTAGGAAGGCTAATTTTTGATCAGAATGTTTGATTATTGATCAGAAGGTGCTCCTTAATTTTTTTTAATTAGGAGGACAAGCGCTCTTGATTACAAGAAGAAAAACACTGCTCTTAAACTGGGTGTGTGACAAGTATGGCTGAGGAATGGGGTTTGGCCGAGGAAACATTTTCAGTCAAAAGATTTTTGTTTTTGTTTTAAACCGACTACTACAACAATTATTACAACTTTTGTTTAAAAGAATAATCACACAATACGCTATTTCTTCCATGTTTTAATTTTAATGGTAAACCCTTTGTTTGCCAAAAAATAAAGGTTTAACTCTTTAAAATAAAGAGTTTACTGTGGGAGTACTACACTCAACCAACACCAGGGAAGGCAGTTTTTTTCAGAGCCCTTGTTATTCTTAATTTTGACATTAATTTTCATTTTTACACCAGACATATATCGGTTCAAAATATCGGTTATCGGTCTACTTGATCTGTAATAATCATGCTCTGATGCGGCAAACTTGTCACAAGACTTGCGGTCCTAATAACGATGTATGACTGTTGTATCCGAATATATATGAAATAGCTGTTTTAAATATTTTTATATTTAACATGTTAGTTTATCAGTGTGTTTGAAAATATATTATTTTGATTATTGGTGCTTTCATAGGCTCCCTCTCGCGCAGTTTAAAACACCACAAGAAATAGACTATGATAAGTACAGAGTCTCTCTCTTGCCCCCACCCACCCATGCATGCATGCACGCACGCACGATAATATCATGTATCGGCTATCTCATGGGCTGGCGATATGACGATTTGAAAAATGACCACATCGCCCAACACTACTTTACATATTCTCATTACATATAACAGGCGATTACTAAATGTTTATTTAAATTCTAATTTTTCTAAATATAAGATAAATATCGCAATGATATTTACAGTAGGTGTGCGATCTTGATAAAGGACTAGAATCCCTCCCAGAGCACTTCAGCCATTCACTCAATTTAATTGAGTAATTAGTCCAACCAAGTCTAATTCGTTTTCATCAAAACTGTTGACTGTGTCTCTATGAGCTTCGTATTTGTTCATAATAAGCCTAATGACTAAAATAAAGGAACATTTATTTATTTATTTGTAAATCTGTTACTCCTTTGCTTATTTTAATGAGAATTGTTGTGTATTATGGAACTTAGCAACAGCAAATCTACACTGTAAACCCGAACAGTACTACTAACTTTAGATTAAGAACACTGCAATTCAATTCTGTTCAATCGTTGATGCAACTTATAACAATTAAATTTTCTGAACGAGGAATTTAGTTTTATTTTTGTGTGGCTCAACAGTTTTGAGTAAACTCTTCTATTTAAATTATTATTTTTAAGTTTATTGAGTGACGTAAAGTGACGTCACCTCGTTGCTCTAACCGACGTTCACAAGAATCCATTCAACATGGCGGAGACTCGCAAGCGACTGGAGCAAACTTAATGGAACAACTTGTAAGTAATCTTACTTGCTTTTTGAGTGTTGTAAGAATATCATGATAAAGTAATGTTTTCATTTTTGGGAAACACTGTTTTTACACAGCGCTGTAAAGTGCGGCATTTCCCTAGTGCTTTTGAATGCGCATTTTGAATGCTATTTTAGCGTCACTGCTTATAGTATAATGTTAACGTCAAAGAAGGGCACTAATGTTAACGTTAGCCGGCATTTTTTTCAGTAAATGCAGTTGTAGCGTCTGGACCAATCAGACACACAATTTTTCATTTGATTTAACAAATCAATTATTCATTAGATTAACAAACGTTCACAGACCCCTCACCCAATAAACATACTGGGTGCCAAGTTGTCTGTGAACAAGGCCCAGGACCCTGGTTACCATGGCAACCCTGACACCAGATACATTTACGACCTAATGGAATGTGAGTAGGGAAAATCACTGCCTTTTCCATAGGAAGAGACACAGTGCAACGTAGGAATGGACTCTTTTCTAATTAATCCATAGGAAAACCTTTCTTTGAATGAACACACATATCCTTCAGATCATTGTGTATGTTGTCTTTAAGATTTTATACTGTTTTATGCAGGCTTATTTTCTTGCCTATATGTAATCCTACCGTGTTTAGTATTTATGAATTTGGTTCCATAACTTCATATTCTTATTTTCTCTCCTCTTTACTGAGATAAGCTTTAACCCTTTCCTATACCAACTGTATGCGCATGTGTGTGTGTGTATGTTAGACCAGTTTGGCAGCATTGGGGGAATTGGTGATCCTCTGCCCATCTTGACTTCTGAGAGACACTGCCACTCTGAGAGGCTCTTTTTATACCCAATCATGTTGCCAATTGACCTAATTGCAAATTGCAAACTGCAAATTGGTCCTCCAGCTGTTCCTTATATGTACATTTCCATTGACAGACAGTTGACCCTGAGAGGTCAGCTAAATATCTACAGCGGATCTAAATATTTATAATTAATTATAACTAGTTATGATTAATTATTCATATTTCCCCATGAGCTACACAGTCCTAACGTACGTTTTGAATGTCGCTGTTGTTAACTGCAATGTTTAGGGCTGCGTTTCTCAAAAGCATCGTGAGCTAAGTCGATTGTTGAGACCATTTGGTGGCAAGTGTTTCTACGATCATCTTAGCCATACATGAGCATACATTAGGTTAAAGCTACACAGCAAAATCCCCAGAGTTAAATAATCTCTGCTCAGAGTACATATTGTCCCAATCTACAGAGTGTTAAAGTAACACTCAAGCCGAGTTAAATTTAATGGGATAATTAAGCAATTAATTAATTGGGACAATATGTACTCTGAGCAGAGTTGATTTAACTCTGGGGATTTTGCTGTGTAATACTCAGACATGAATTTTGCAATATATTAAATTTACAAAAGCAATCTACAAACTTGTAGTAAACCTTTACAAACTTTCATTGCAGGCTGAGCTGGATGCTGAATACCAAAGTGTGAGCCTCAAGGTAACTTATATTGAGTTGAAGAGCAAGTTGTGTGATGTGTCCTCACGTAACAGGACACAGACTCGGCTTTCTCTTTTCTACATCCATTGTTGGTTATACACTTACTTGTGCATGTTTGTGGTTTTCTAGGTTTGTGCTGAGTTTCACCATATCAGAGAAAGTGGCACACACCAGCAAGATTTCACAGATGTTGCATGACGTTCTAAATGTTTGATCTTCAGGTGAGTGCAAATTCACAAACACTAACTACCTCCATTACTGTCTTCATTGTATATAAAATAAAGTTGGCCTGCTTGTTTAACATGTTTTTTTTTTTTTTACATGATGTCAACACTCAGTGTACGTGTGTGAGGAGAACTATTCTTCAGGACATGAAATGTAAGTATTAAGTGCATTAATAGATCTGAAATAGAGTGGGGGAACTATGACGTCAGAACCAGGAAGTCTAATTAGCCGCGGGTTCCTTTGAGATTTTCCTATGGGGTTTTTTAAATGGGGTTTATCAAATTATGAATAAAATAAAGCCTGTGGTAAACATAACTTGACGATACTTCTACGTTTTGTTCTACAATGTAAACTGCACGCACTCACAGCCTAAACCTTCTTATCTAGCTACTTATTAAAAACATACGTTTTCAAAAATTAACATAACTGCTTCAAAATTTGTATTTTGGGTATGTATGTGTGTAATTTACGTTGTACAACAAAACATAAAAGTATTGTCAAGTTATGTTTACCACAGGCTTTATTTTAATTGAAAAACCCGATTATAAAACCCCATAGGAAAATCTAGACGGAACCCACGTCGAATTACTCTTCCGGGTTCTGATGTTATAGTTCCCCCACTCTATTGGCAGTAAATATAAATGTCTACTTTTAGTCTCAAAAGTTAAAGTTAAAGTTTTACCCTCTGTGCTTATTCCAGGAGGAATTGGGCGAGCCAGACATCACTGACACAAAATACCTCTCCTACTGATTTCGTTATCATGGACAACGAAACCACTACAAGTCCTGCAAGCACTGCAGTTGTGATGAGATGATCTTCCAGTGTTTGACATTCAGAAATACACAGTTCATGCGGTTTAAAAAAGGCTGAAAAAAAATCCTCAATTGTATAGCCACAGGTGTGCGTGTATTTTTTTGAGTTAGTATTTGTACTTAATAAAGCCACTACTGCATCAAAATAATTGGTAAATTAAAAATATTACTTATGATAAACAATCATTTTAAGTACACTGCACTTAAACATTAAGCCAAAACAAATTTAAGCTTTTTAGTTTGACTTAATTGTTATTTATAATTAATGTTAACTTAAAAAAAGTTGCTTAATTACTTTTTTTTTTTTTTTAGGTAATCGGTGTCCACAAATATGGAGTATTCTGAACTTATCGGGTTTTACAGTGTAGAAATAAGTGGCGTTCTTCACGTTGACTGACACTTGGAGTGCGCTATAAATCACATCTTATGCCACTCAATATGGCAGCTGTAGGGATGAAAGTCTTGGTTTTGAGTTAAAAGAGCCAATCACTAACTAATAACCATCTAATACCAATTTTAGCATGATTTGAGCTGAAGAAGCAACATTTATGACACCACTGTTGATTTAAAATACACTATCGTTCAAAAGTCTGGGGTCGGTTTGATTTTTTTATGTTTTTGAAAGAAGTCTCTTATTTTCATAAATATAGTAATATCGTGAAATATTATTACAAGTTAAAAGAGCTGATTTCTGTTTGAATATATTTTAAAATCAAATTTATTAATGTGGTGGCAAAGCTGAATTTTCAGCATCATTACGCCAGTCTTCTGTGTCACATGATCCTTCAGAAATCATTCTAATATGCTGATTAAGTGCTTGTCAGTGTTGAAAACAGTTATGCTGCTTAATATTTTTGTGGAAATTGTAACATTATAAATATCCTTGTAAATATACTGTCACTTTTGATCATTATAATCCTGGCTGAATAAAAGTATTAATTTCTATAAAATAAAAAATCTTACTGACCCCAAACTTTTGCACACTACACTCCAAAAATTTTTTTGAAATATAAGGCACAATATACTATTTAATTTGAAGGAATTTTTCTGTAATTACTGTTTTTTTACAGGTGTTTTACCAGCATTTTTACACTGCACTGCGTTGTGTTTTAAAGTTAATAGAAATGTCTGGAAAATTAATAGATAATATCCTGTGTAATAAGCTGCCACTTTATTTTTACAGTGTGGTGTATATTGTCTTAAATGTCAACACCTCACAAGAATTTGGAACAGAGCTAATAACTGCGCATAAGCGCTGACCCAACGAACACTTTTGGGGTGCGCATAATGTTTTTGTCTATTTGTGTTCCTTGGCTGAATTTTCAGGCCCCCCTCTGCTGTCAGAACTCATTTAGCAGTTTCTCCCAGGCTTCTAGACCTTTCCGCTGCCTGACATAACTGACATTTACATTTGCCCTCTATCAAAGAAAGAGAAACAAGGGTTTAGATCTCTCCACTCCCATAACAATCTCTCTCGAAAGGGCAGCAGAAAAATGACCATCCTCACAGCAATCTTATCAACCGCTATTTAATCACCGCGGTAAAAGCGAGAGAATCCATTTTCCAGGTTGTCAGCGTCACAATGGGCCAAACTGTCCATTCTCAGTGGAAGAAATAACACGGCTCTGGTTTGAATGAACTCACTCTTCACATCTTTCCCTTCGTTTTTGTCGTTGCGTAATTGTTTTCTTTGTGCGCACCTTAACGGAATAACCCAAAACGTGATCATTTATTAATGTCACGTTTATTGGTGCTTATCTTCTTATCTAGGGTATTTCCACTTCAAAGCGGTGTGTGCAGATAAAACAGAGAGTGGAGGAGAAATGCTAATTCATACAGTTCAAAATGCAGGCATAAAGGACAGGCAGAAATCAATAGAGCTCCCCTGCGTGAGGGAGAGTCAACAGAGCAGAAGAGTCCAGTGCCCGAGCACATAAATAATATTTATGTAGACGGCAGATGCAAACAACCACAGGGGAGCATGTATAATTCTGATTCATACATCTGAGAAGCAATGATCTGGTAAATGTGAGACTCGCTCATTTATTTTACACGAAGAGGCTCAGGGGCAACAGGTCGTCACCGGTGATTGTTAAGCCTTATCTGTGTGATAACCGTGGCTAAAGCACTGTTGTGATGTTTGTGGGAAAAACGGTTTGTGGCTCTGAAAGCAGTTTGTTTGTGTCTGTGGGACAAGGGCAGAATGTTTAATAATGCTGAGGTGAAAGTGAGCTCGTTTGTTAAGACGTTCAGCGTTATGCTAGCTGACTAATTGCTGCTCTCTCACCTATTGTCTTCAGTCTACCTGATAGGACACAGAGTATGTTTTGTAAACCGAGACAGAAACTAAGGGTGCTTTCACACTTGGTTCGCTTGCCTGGTCCGAACCTGAGTTAGATTGCTCCCCCCTCCCCCTGCCCCCGCTGGACTGTGTTTATATTATTTTATCTGGGTCCGAACAGCAGTTCGTTTGCGTCATCAAGCCAGCAGCTGTTTACCCCGTTGCTTATTAACAACGGCGCAGGAGAAGGCGGCAAATGCATAACATTGCTCTCTGCACTTTTATATATTTACGTTTTTGAAACGTTTGTTTGTTTTACAAAGCTTCGGTACATAACGGCACTTACGTCTGTCTTACGAATGTACTGGAAATGCTCTAAAGAACGCTGAAGGCGAACAGAAATGAGATATACAGCTCTCTGCAGCGCGTCAGTCACGCTCATCAGGAAAGTGAGTGAAACACACACACACATTTTTATCAAATAATATGTAATTAATAGCGGTTCACTTCTGCAATTTGGTACAATTGTGTTCACATCAGCAGCAAACCGTACCGGAGTTCACTTGAACCGTACCCCAGACCACCCTTTTTAAGCGAACTCGGGTATGGTTCGTGGGTGCGCACCCGAGTTCGGATGACAGCGTTCACATCATCCAAACGAACCGAACTCTGACGTCAATCGAACCCGGGTGTGCACCAAAAGTGCTAGTGTGAAAGCACCCTAACTAACTGCTGCAGTTTTTGAAGAACAGGATCTAACAGTATAGTAATCTTGCTGGTGAACATATTAATATTCCTGGTTCAACACAAATTTATCTCTAGCAACATCTGTTGCCCATCTAACAAGAGTAGTAGTCAAACCTCAAAGCTTAAAAGGACAGTTCACCCAAAAATGAAAATGTCTGTCATCATTTTTTTCACCCTCATGTCATTCCAAACCTGTATGATTTTCTTTATATTGTGGAACATAAAAGAAGACATTTTGAAGAATGTGGGTAACCAAACAGTGTCAGTTCCCTTTCACTAAGGTCAATAAATATAATGGAAAACAATCAGAACTGAAACAGTTTGGTTTATCCTTTTAAATAATGCATCCAAAAGCTATCAGGTAAAGACAACGTTTGCATACAAAGGCACATCCCGAAACTGATTTCAGAAAGGCTTTTGCCGGACTTCTCCAATGATTTTAGTCTCTAAACCCTGCCCCTTTCTTACAATTGTCTCACATTTAGATCTGCCTGCATGCAATCAACAACAGGCAGACAGAATCAAGACCCACCCTACATTGTTTTTCTTTTTACATAATTTGCTTCACTTGGATATATGTCACAATATGGAAGAAAAGATCTGTCACTATTCCGTTTCACTGCAACTTCAACAGAATATGCATTAAAGTTAGCAGCAGGTTTATGGAGACTACTTGATGCCAAATGTCCAGGTAAAACTTTGTTTCTTTGGTCAGTTGGAGATTATCATGTTATAACCTCTTTAGATGCTGCTGTAACCTTAAATTCAACATGCATGGAGCAAAATATACTCTACAGTGGGTCTAACGGGTCATTGATGTCTCCAGGAACAGCCATTACAGTTAATCTGACCTAAAGTGTTGTGATGAAGAAAAAAGGTGAACAATGACACCACATAATTGTCACAGGCATCTGGAATATTTAAAGAGAATTAATATGAAGAATGAACCCAATCTCTTTGTGAAGCATTTCATGGTCTGGAATGATCCAGAACACCTACAGTAATGAAATAACAATCACTTCTATTAGATTACAGAAACAGGCGACCATCATCCTCAATCTACCAGCAGAACCACAGCCCTATTTCATTTCAAATATCAATCATGCTCAACTGAATAAAATCTGTTCATTTGGGGCACAATATGGCCAAAAGCTTGATCGGTGTCAGTAACAATAAAGGGTAAGCGGTTCTCAGCCTCAAACGCACCCTCAGGACTTTACTCCTCCGTTTCATACACCCTGCTCGCATAAGGACAACACTGAACCAGCCTGTCCGCCTTTTCGGGACTTTGTTAAACATTGTCAGAAGCCCATCTATGCAATTATTCATCCCACCATTTTGTGTAATTATAGACTGCGAGACAGGTGATATGTTTAGCTTATGATTCAGTGCTTGTGCTCAGAATTTCCCCCTTCCCAGTTGTGCGACACAGTATGCCGAGAGCTTTGTGATGATGAACTTGCCAAAACTGTTGGTGTTCTCTGTCCTTGGCCAAAGCCCAAGAAACTGCAGGCATCCTGCCATTACTTTATCTGTAGTCATCAAATCAATATGAGCAGAGGGGGCATTTGAATGGCAGACCATTTCTCAAGGCATACGTTAAGACTAACATCAGAATTCACCTGACTCTAATACTAGTGGTCTCCAAGCCCATTTGTACTGTGAGGGTGATTGTGAAAAAAATGGAAAATGAAAAGTCAGTGTTTCCTACAGAATTCTGTTGTGATACACAACACGTACTAAATGTTCCTGAAAATAACTTTGACTTCATTAAATGAGACAGATGTTGATCCAGTGAGCTTATAAAGTGAATAAGTATGTAACTTGTAAGTTTGTCATTCTTTCTGAATGATTCATTAAAAGATCCAGTTCTTAAGAGTCATTTGGGCTACATTTTATTTTGAAAGTCCACTTTAGACATTCTACTAAC